AAGTAGAATACGTCCAATCAGATTGGAACGCCGGGTATACTACTCTAACAATTGTGTTCCAGTCCCTTTTGGAATTCATTATCAAACAACGTGCTAGGTCTTACGATGAATTGTTGGAGGTTGTGCTAAATACACTAATGTTGAGAAAGTGAAAGGTTGGTTTCCTACAGCTTGATGTGAAATGGGATAAAGAAAAGAAAACGGAGAAGAGTTTCTGATGACAGGAAGAAGGAGAAGATATGGGATAGAATATAGAACAATGGTTTGATCGATATATCCCCCTTAAGACTCTCAGAAGTCAAGTGAGGGTTTTTAGACAAGTGTTATAACTAATGGAAAGAAAAGGCGCCCTCAGATTGCTAGATTGGCTTAAACCTAGCCTTAAGAGGGTAGGAGCGCCAATAGGTTGCATATAAGTTTATTGCAGACATCAAATGGATTACAGACACACAACGAATAACTGCAAAGAGCTGAATGATGAGATTGAAAGGCTGATTCGAGCCGATCACTTGAAGGGGTTCACCTTTAAGATATGGAGATAAAAAAAGAAAAAAGGAAAAGAAAAAAAGACAAGAGAGATTGAGAAGATCGAAAAGAGCCCTGAATAAATCTAGAAAAAGGGAGTGATTTAAATGATTACAAGAGGCCCAACACAGGACGACTCGAATCAGGCGAGAAAGCGCAAGTAGGATAGAACACTAAGGGCCCGTTTACTTTAGGGGACAGGACATGATAAAGTAAATTATCCCGTTTATCAGTCGTTTACATTGCAGGATTAGGACATGACTGGTATGATGTGGCATTGATGTGGCATGTATGGTTGTCAAAGTTATCATTTATTGGGCGATAAAAAAATCCCGCCTTAGGGTCCTGATATTTTAATCCCATACTGTTCATGCCAATTTCACCCTCAACTTTGCCTCTGAAAATACGTAAAAACCCCTACACATCCAATTATTTACATCAAATACCAGTTAAATATAAAATTCTTCTACCTTACCCTAATCTTGCAATCGACGAATAGCGAGCTGTTCTTACCTTGGTTGGAGCTCATTGTTCAATTCGTCTGCAAGGTAAGGTCGATTTTTTTTTTTTTTTTTTT